TATTTACGCAAGCAATTTAAGTATTAGAATCTGTAGATGGGCTAACGTGAACCTAAGCTGGCTTCAGAAGGGGCTACTCCACAGTGTTGTTCTCCAGAAAAAAATTTGGAAGCAGAAACGAAATTGTATATATTTGTTTTTACTTGGGAATGCTTAAGTTTTCATTAGCCAGTTAACAAGTTACTCATGATGGAAAATACGGGGTTCAGCTTTATATTAGATATAATGTTGTTGATGGTTGTGCATGATGTGATTTTGGTCTTTGATTCAGTGTCCAGTCTGCTGAAACAAGTCAACAGTTTAGAAACATATGCTGGGGGTTGGCTGTTCATCTTGAAAAGACCAGTATTGTCGTCTTAGGCGGGGTGGTCGTTTTGATCAGGTTTTTGTGAACCTCAATGAAAGCAAGCTATCAATTTTGTAAGCATAGTAGTGTTTCTTCACATGTTGTTTTCTCATGAGGTTAAACATGTAACATTTGTACAAGCAAAAACCAAAATAATTATCTGGGCTGAAAAGAATTTTGTTATTTCCAGATGCATGCAAACAAATTCATTTTTGTGACATAATGAAAAAATTATTCATAATTTAAATATATATCATCAGTAAACATGGCAATGCAAAGCTGTGTCGGAAAGTGGAAAGGAAAACAATAATACGTCAAACCAAATTCCTTTAAATGGACATGAAGAAAATCCCAACACCCTCAGGAGTCAAGCTGACGAACCCCGTCACCCATCCAACTAGTCTGACCCGCTTCCTGTTCACAGGACCTCGTGCTACCACCATCCATCTCTCACTGCCCATCCATTTCTATCACTCGATGTCCCGCAATCTGACGAAATACCAAGATTTGTCAATGACAGGTCTAGGCTCTATGCTTATGTCGATGGCAACATAACATGTAAGTCAAAGCATTGTCAATGTCAGGTCATTGTACCATGGTACACAACTCGATGGCAACGTGTAAGTCAAAGCAATATCAATGTCAGGTCTTAGAACCATGGTACACGAGACGATGACAACATTTAATAATCCAAAGCATAGTCATAGCCAAGTCATGGAACCATCGTGAGTGAGTGAGTTAGTTTACGTCGCTTTTAGCAATATTCCAGCAATATCACGGCGGGGGACACCAGAAAAGAGCTTGTACACATGTGGGGAATGGAACCCGGGTCTTCAGCGTGACGAGTGAACGCTTTAACCACTAGGCTACCTCATCGCCCCTGGAACCATGATACACCAGTCGATGGTAAAACGTAAGACAAATCATTATCAACGTCAGATCATAGAACAATATTGCACCAGCCAATGCGAGTCAAGGATTGCCAATGTGAAATCATTGTATCATATATAGTATGACCAGAAATTATTGAGAATTTTAGGAATATGTTTAATTAGATTTATAGTATAAACAACCTTGACCAGCTAGCATAAGCGTTAATCCTTTTTCATTAGTTTGTCAAGCGTTATCCCCCTTTGTGTACTTGCTAGCAGACGACATTATCAGTGATCCTCAGTATGGATGATTTAGAGAAGAGAAAGTAGATTTTAGAGTATCATAACCAGGACATCAGATGAGCTAAAGTGATTTCAATTAGAACAGGCATCCCTTTGTCCACTGTTTGTCGTGTTACGAAAAATATTGCAAATGGATATGGCATTGAGTACCAGGGAGGGGCAGGTAGGCCCAGAAAATTGACTGTGGGTGACAGGAGGCGGCTTGGTATTCTTGTTTCTAAAAACAAACGAAGGAGTTATGAAAACTTAAGGCTGGATATGATTGATACAGGAACTGTGGCTGTCATGATGAAGGAGACAATTAGAACTGAGCTGCATGCAATGGCTTTGCAGAAAACTCGAGGAATTCCATCACCGATCATGAAACCTGAACAAAAGGAGCGAAGGTTGAACTGGTGCTTACAGCATAGAAATTTTCACTGGGACAATGTGATTTTCTCAGATGAAAGTTCTATGGAAATTTTTGGATTTCCCAGGACAACGACCCAAAACATCGTTTAAAGCATTCACAGGCCTGGTTTTGGACCCATAATATGACATTATTAGATTGGCCAAGCTATAGCCCTGACCTAAATCCAATACAAAATGTTTGGGGACTTGGGGAAGTGTCAATAAGAAAAATCTGACAAATATTGCTGAAAAGAAAGAAGAGTTGGTCCGATATTGGGACAGCATGAACCACGACTTTCTAACTTCTTTGATCAGTAGTATGCCCCGCCACATTGAAGCCTGCATTGCTGTCCATGGTGACTTGACAAAATACTGTTCACCTGTCTTTGAATCTGGAGTTATATTTTGCTAATATTCACATTAAATACGTGAGTAATGAGTGAAATTTAAAAAAAAAAAATTACAATCTTAAATTCTCAATAATTTCTGGTTGTACTGTAACTCAGTGCATTGACAAAGTCAGGCCAGATTGCCATGATACACCAGCAAAATACAACATGACTAAACAGAGTAAGGTTCAATAATAATATATTATTCACTTAAAAATTCATAACATGGGTACTTAGTGCAATTTGCAAGATCGTAAAACTAATAAACAATAACCAATAACCTCATACATCTTAGATTTGTACAGTGTGTGTCTAACACAATTATGAATGCTCAACACAATGTCATATCTATTTTAGCATTACATGGCACATGGTAAAGCAGAGGCATTAGACAGAATTATTGATTAATAATATAATAATAAATATATATTTATATAGCACTTATTTCCAGTTCTGTTAAACTGCTCAAAAGCGCTTTTGGGCAATGAATTGTCCTGGGGAATATGTACAACAGTGAGTCTATATACACGGAGAGTTTGCAGTTCAGGCGTAACATGAAGTGAAGAGGTAGGTTTTCAGGTGTGATTTGAATGTTTCTATGTTCTGAGAAGATCGTAATTCAATAGGGAGAGAATTCCAGATCCGTGGAGCTACGATTTGGAAGCTTCTTTTTACAAAAGATTTTCGGGCGGAGGGAACTGTCAGTGGGAGTTGGCTATCGGATCGCAAAGATCTTGCAGGTTGGTATTTGCTAATACGTTCGTTGAGATAGGGTGGTGCCTCAGAGTGGTATCCACGGAAAGTTAGAGTCAGTGTTTTGAACTTGATTCTGTCTACAATCTTAAGCCAGAGTAGATTCTTCAGTATAGGGGTGATATGGTTTGATTTTCTTGTTCTCTTGATTAATCGTGCAGCTGAATTCTGGACTTTTTGTTGATGAGACGGTTTGGGAGGCTATAAAGAAGTGAATTGCAGTAGTCAAGATGAGACATAACACAGGCTTGCACAAGAACAAACAATTGTCATATGCATATCGACGTAACACTTTTCTCAATTATTTGAAAAAGGTAACAAGGTCGATAAATTTTCCATTACAGAACCACGTGGTTCTGTCTATCGTTTAGCTTGGTTGGTACTGCCAATCAGTAGTGCAGGCGGAGCATATTCTTGCAGCTAATGTAACCTTTCAAAATCCGACGCATTTGGATTGCACAAGCCAGTGATACAAGATCTAATTAAAGGTGAGTAACAGTGAACGGCAAATAGAACTGTTGCCTTTAAATTGAACAATCGAGTAAAGGTGACTTTCGATGGGCTATACAATGTGACAATATATCCTCTTGAAATTTTCATGCTTAGTGTGACATGAAAGTTCAAATCATTATTGATGTATTTTGATAGCTCTATGTTGAAAGATGATAATAAAGTAGCAGTGAAAAGCAAGCATAATTGTTGCAATGTACATAATGTATCGTAATGCTTGTCCTTGAAATGTATTTTATACTCCATACATGAAAATGTTTCAACATCTTCTGACCAACACATGGTCCCTGCCTGGCGTTCGGCATTAATGGGTACAACAAGGACTCGGGGGCTCGGAGTCAGTATAATGTGTCTGAGTGGGGTATTCATGCTTCACTGCGGCATGGTATCTGAGTGGGCTAGCACTATAAAACCAGCTTCAGTCTGGGCTAGTACAAGCAGCTGCACATACACATACACACGCACGCACGTCGGTCATATGAGCGAAATATTCTCAAGCACGACGTTAAACCCAATTTCACCTCACCTCACCTGACCAACACATACTTGTTTTGTATTATGCACTGTGTGTATACCATCCCCAGCACAGATGAGATTTCGCGCGCCTATTGATATTATCTAGATAACTGCATAATACCATACATGCAATGTCACATTTTCTACCAAAGCTTCCTGACAGAGAGTGAGTGAGTGAGTGAATTTAGTTTTACGCCACTTTTATCAATATTTCAGCAATATCACGGCGGTTGATACCAGAAATGTGGGGAATCGACCCCCCCCCTTTCTGACAGAATATCAGTTATTTACAATATCACTTGCAACAATGGATCGGCAAATTATGTCTCTCTCAAAGTATGACAGTCTTTAACAATTACAGTCAACACAAGAGTTAAAAAACTTCTAATGAAATTGGTTACTGTAACTTAAAACAATAAAATGACATTGTATTTTCCCTTCAAACTAATACATAAGAATTTAAAATATAGTCTGTTAAATATATCATATTTCATGTAATCTCACTGATAGATGAGGAGATTTACATTCAACAATCCAATGATTCAGGGAAGTATGCAGACACCCGCATATCACCAGAGAGGGGTAGTCTAGTTATGGAGGCCATTAGAGAATGATGGCTTTCCTGCACCCATTCCCTGATATCATGTTGCTGTGGAGTCCTTATGAATATGATGTCATTTTACTGGTTCTGGTGTATCAACTTCGGATAGAATAGAACAAACCGTATCATTCACCATTTCTCTACCGGTTCCAGACAGGCACTGACATATGTTATGTTACAGTTGCAGACCTTTTTCATGTACTTACTTATATACCATTCAGCATACCGAATAATTTGTTTCACGGTCAGTCAAATGCATCTTTAAACCATAAATATCTGTTCATGAGCATAAATACAGACAATGTCATATCTAATGGCAGATGAAGGTCCTTCAGTTTCTTCGACACAAGGCCCTCCTCATTTCTACCATTATCGCCGTTGTACTGGGAATTGTAGCTGGTATTATGTGCCGGTCTCTCAAGCCAACCCCTGACGCTATTCAGTTGGTGCAGTTTCCTGGAGAGCTTTTCCTTCGTATGCTCAAGATGCTGATGCTGCCCCTGATAGCCGCCAGTATTATTACAGGTAAGTTTACCATATTCGTTGGTTGACGTTGTAGTATCCACCAGGAACACTTGTCGACAATGTCTACTTATTCCTATTATATTGCAAATAATGACATGCCAATGTTCACATTTGTAATAAGGTACATCTAGTTAACATTATAGTTGCTATTTTGTAGTAGGAGTAGATACCAACACAACAAAGTGAACTACCAATATTGTTTGCCTTAATGTTCTCTATCTGTAAGTCGGATTTAACCCGTCCTTGCAACGTGCTACATTGATAGATAACAACTGGATAAATGGACAACCCATGTTGAGTACGCAATTCATGTTATTCTTAAAAAAGCCAAAACTGAAAAAATGTAACGTATGCCAATATTATGAAGGATTTTGATAGACTACTATTTAATTTTCATTTTTGTGAGCATTTATCTCAGAAATATTCTTTTCGGCGCATGGATTAAACCTCGCCATGTACATCCCGACCAACTCGATCTCTCTAGTGTCATATCCATGTAGTACATGACGTGGGATTTCTGAAAAATCAACGTGGATAATTGCACTCTATTATTTGATGTATCTTAAGGGAAGAACCAAACCATATATATGTTTCTTGAAGGTCTGGGGAATATGAAGGGTTCATCTGCCGGACGGATGGGTGTACTTTCTATGGTTTACTATGCAAGTACCTCTGTTGCTGCAACGCTCGTTGGTTTGGCATTAGTCCTGAGCATCAAACCTGGATCATACTCAGACTCAGCAACAACCCACATTCAACACAATGATGCCATGGCGTCAGCAATCGATATCATTTTGGATTTAATGAGGTAGGGTTGTTTTGTTGTTTAATGCAGCACTCAACTATATTCCTGGTATATAGCGTCGGTCTGTAAATAATTTAGTCTGGACCAGACAATCCAGTGACTGACATCATGAGCATCTGTTTACGCACGTAGGGTATGATGATATGCATCAGCCATGTCAGACTGTGCAGTACCATCAGCTGTTTCAGCCAAGTGTGATTTCCCGAAGACAATTTTAATGCGTCTCCCCAAGATGCGTTAATGTAGGGCATCTGCAAAGGCAGATTCATTTTCGCATCATGTAATAGATTTAAAAAGGGCAAATATGTGCAAACATCTGTGTTATTACATATTAGCATTATATCAGAATACATACACATAATTTCTATTTCAGTATATGAAAAGTTTTAACAATTTGTCATTTAAATACATATTGGAGACAAGTGATTCAAATTGTGCTTGTATATCGTCCTTCATTTAGACAATAGTTTGGTAGGAACAGCATACTAAGTAAATTACAAGTATTCCGTGTTGCTTATAATACCAGGGACTATGACTGTGTTTAATATTGCTATATGTAGCAGTTTGTATCTGCAACACATATCCAGACACATACTTATGACCAGAAAATCACCTTTTATCAAAATGATGACTAGAATACGTCCAATTCATGTTTTTTGAGGGGATTTCATCAGTTCTCCGCTGGATACAGCATAAAGCAAACATATCCGATTATTATGTAAAATTCCTTTCATACATGATAGGTCACTTTTCATTTTGTTCGGCAGAAACATAGTTCCTGACAATTTAGTTGCTGCTACAGTCCAACACTCTAGAACTGAGACGGTAGTTCATGAAGTAGAGTTCCGGGACGATGTCAATTCCAGTTCTGGTGGTGATTATAGGAAATCCACCAACCTAAGCCGACATTTTACAGCAAAGAAAACGGTGATGGTTGATGGTGCAAATGTCATAGGTATTCTTACAACTTGTTGCTGACGTTTCTAGATAGTTGGGTAGGACCTTCTGAAATGTGTTTGTGCAGATGGATCGTTCAGTACGTTGGGTATATAACCGAGTTCCTCCTCTACATAAACCAACATGCACTTTTGGACCAGGAAAACCAAACTCATACTTATTGTAATCAGAAGATCATTTTCAAATGTGGTTTCTAAAACGCACCAGGTATGTATGAGTTCCCAATCTCGTTGACATCGAAAAACATAATGGTTTTCATTACCAAGGCAGTTACGGTTATATAATGTACTGTTAATCGGTAGGCGTTTCATGCAATCTTCGTCCATCAGTTGCTGGTCGATCATTTTAAAAGGTTCAAGTAATGTTTCTTGGTCAATGGTAATAGATAACATTCAAAGATACAAGAGTTTTTTAATTTGATGATCTTTCTACATTTTGAATGCCATTCATAAATAAACTTGTCATGACAGCAATTTGTGTGGTCACACAATGTCAAAACAGAAGATTAGCAAACCATGCCAGAACCTCCTTTGTTTAAACTGTAGTTTTCATCTTTGAAGAAAACATCGAATTACAACCAATGCTACAACATGCGATAATGACTAATATATACACAAGGAATAACAGCACCTATTCTCGCTCCCCCCTAAAACAACACCCCCAATAAAAACAAAACAACAACAAACACCCCTCCAAAAAAAACAAGCAAAAAACGCAAAAAAACCCAACTAATTTGGATATCGTAAATAGAAACTAAACACCCCCCCCCAATAAAATTAAAAACAATGTCAGGAACATTTCAGAAGACATCAGAAAGAACGTAAATACATAGAATCATTGTTGCTAGACATACTTTTCATTAAACGTTACTTTTGTAATATATCCCATGGTTACATCGGTTAAACTGAATCAGTGTCAGTGAATTGTTGTTTTGCATCCTTTTCGTATGATCAGTTCATTAAAATAAATATCGCGGCGAAAGTCCCCAAAACACAGAAAATACTCCATCCATACCAATTGCTTATCCAGAAAGTTTGAACAATTGAACTTGTTTTCGATAAATGATGCTCAGTTATTCCAACTATTTCTCTTGGCAGGTGTCATTACCTACTGCATTGTTTTCGGTGTGACTCTAAACCAACTTGGATGTCGTGGAGGAGTGGTGGCACAATTCTTCACCATCATCAACCTCGTTACCTTCAAAATGATCACACTTGTCATGTGGTGGGTAAACGCGAGAGAGACTGAGAGAGTTTATTCTTGCGTGCTTCGTTAACCGACAAACACAGGGTCATGGGCAATGTGTAACTTGTTTCACTCAAATAACTGATTATGTTTATTACTAGAATAAATCTTCACTGTCTGTTTGTATCATACTTGCATTTTCCAGGTATTCACCAGTTGGCATCCTGTTTCTCATTACTGGACAAATAATATCCACAACTGACCTGACGGAGACTGGACAAACACTGGCTATCTATATTGCAACTGAAATGGCTGGATTGGCGATCCATTTATTGGTGGTCCTTCCTGGCTTGTATTGTGTTCTGACCAGAAAGAACCCATATGCAATATACCTCAAGGCAATACAAGCTCTAATAACAGCCTTGGCAACAAGCTCCAGGTATATATGTTCACAGTTATCTCACTGACTGCGTTCGTTATATACATCATATTTGCTTCTAGGTTACAGGATGGAACACAATTTACCGATGCTAACTATAATGAAGAATGTCATATCATTATAATTATCAAATGATATATAATGAAGACAGAGGCAGAATATTCTGGCTATTAGGGTAGGCTAAAAGTATCACTACATTGGCGCTCGTATTCGATTAGATACAATACGGTTACCTTTGAAAAGATGAGACTAATTTGGCCAGCAGGCTGTGTGACTTTGTGTTTGGATTAACTGTTTTGAAACCTTTATTAGACTTGGTAATCCGACCTGTTTAATTATGGCTGCATTACGCCCGTACGACCACGTTAATCTTTTATTTGCATATGAAACTGTATTGATAATGTTCATGTCAAATGTGGAGAACTAATTAATGTATACGTGCAGCTGTTCTTATGAAACAGGACTGTTACAATAGGCGGCAACAGATGTTTAGAATATTGTTAGAATATGGGCAATATGCAGAAACAGTGTCCTTGCTCATCCTTAGTCATTATAACAATCGAAATCTAACATAACCTGAAATACTGACACTGCGACGGTTCATTTCAACTGATTCAAGCTCCGATCTGAATGATCAAATGAATTCTTATTATTTATCATTTATCGTACCCTTTTCAAAAATGAAATTTACGAAATTCAATACGAAATCAGAATACATGCACAGAACGTGTATTGAAAATCTCAGTCTATGACTTCATGTTCTACGCTTTTGTAAAAGCTCGTTTACATGCGCTAACCCGTTAAGATCCGGGCTAGAATTGATCTTCAGCAACCCAGGCTTGGCGTAAGGGGCAATCTGGTGGTCAGGCTCACTGCAGGAGTTTTGGTGTGAGCGGCGTTTAACAAACAAACAAACGCACACTCAAACAAACAAACAACTTAAATGCATTAAATAGGAAACGTACATCGGCAGCTTTGTCGAGGATATTTACTGACCATGGCATGTACACCTCGCTGTTGTGTCACTCCATCTCCTGGCAGCCAGTTTGCATTTGAAGACTTCGCGTGCTGTCCTTAGTTGGTGAAATATTGTAACCTCGTTTTACTCAGCTCAATCAAACATCATCAATCAGTTGATACGATGTTGCGATTGTGAATCAGGAATTAGCAGCTCAGCCTACTTAACGTGTCAGATGGATCTATTCACAGTGCTGCCACGCTGCCGGTGACGATGCAGTGTGTGGAGCAGCGGATGAAGATGGACACACGGATTTCCCGTTTCATCCTCCCAGTGGGTGCCACAGTCAACATGGACGGCGGTGCTGTGTTTGCTGCCATTGCTCCGATGTTCATTGCTCAGTACAATGGGATCAGCCTCACATTCGGAGATGTAATAATTATAAGGTATGTTTGTAATCTTGGTAGGTTCTGGGGTACAGTTGGTAAGGCAAACACTCGTATAGATGAGTAATTATAAGATCGTTAGACCGTTTGGGCTCTTACTACAACAGAGGGATCCACAACAAATATAATTCGGCGCTCGGTTCATTTGGAGCATGTAGTCAGTTGAGGATGCTATAGTAGGAGATTGAAATTTTTGAGGGGGCCAACCTAGTTCCCGTTCTCTTCCCCAGTATCACTATAAGTCTCATTTACTCGCCGGTAAATCCCAAAAATCTTACAGGCGCAGAACGTTCTTCACAAACGAAAACCAAGAGAACTAGTCCGTAGATAATACAAGGTTGTGGTTTATATTTACATGTATACTCCTCACACAATAATAAGCAACAAGTATTTACAGTGTAATATCTTTATCAATCTCGATAGCGATTTTTGCCGACATGTTACTGAAAGGTAAATATTCAAAGAATACATAACCTATAGTGACTGCCAAATTGATTTATCTGATAACATTGACAACATCACCCGAGCACAACCTCACTCAGAAACAACATGCAATTTCAAAATGTTTGGCATGAATGTGCTCCACTCTTCACACATGCACCCTGATCGGTGTAAACCTACCTGTTATCATTCCCCTGGTACAACAAGCGGATCCTAATTTCATTTTTATGGATGATAATGCCTGTCCATGGATGATAATGCCCGAGAAAATGTTTACGATGTTGTTTAGATCAACAACATAACACATATGGACTGGCCTGCAAGGTCACGTGATCTTAATCCCATTGAACATGCTTGGGACATTATTGGAAATCGTGTTTACGGTCTCCATGTTCATCCCCAGAATTTGGATGACCTTGAGCAGGCGTTACAGAGAGAATGGCAGAACATTCCACAAAAGCAGCTTTAAAGGCTTATTTGGTCAACGCAAAGACGTGTAGAAGCTTGCATTTGTGCTCATGGTGGTCATACGCGTTACTGAACACTGCTTCACTGTCCAAAACTGTCTTGAAATTAATGTAATCATTTTGCTCCATCGGCGCGGCACATTTTGCACGACTATGTCGCGGGTACATGCCTTTAATGTTGTGTAAGTCTTTTACTGGTCAATACTATTTCATTTCATTTTGTCAATCGCGTGTACATATGATTCACCTTTCTATTGCATCATTCCATGATTTGCAATGTAAATAAACTTAAAATGTAATCAGACTACAAATTTGCGTTGCTTATTAACTTTTTGTGAGGAGTATATATTACTGTGTAGATATAGAAAATATAATGTATGAATATCAATAAATTTTATATGTTGCATCTGCGCACCAAATACGATTTTTGCTTCTCTGATTCCACACAACTGAGCTCTGTAAATACCGATCCAGCGTACCAAAATGTGCTTGACAGCCAGTCTCCTTATTTAGTACTTTCTCAAAACAGACAGACAACCTCTTTCAGTGAATTAGGCCACCGGCCCATAATACCAGCAGAGTACAAGGTAAAACGCATTAGTGCGCACATAAACTGCGAGTATAGGTTGAAGTCACAAGCTCGTAACAGTAAAAAGAAGTGGATGTAAAATGCCCATATTGTAAATAACAGAATGTTTCACGGTAAACGTTTGAGTTGTCTTTAAGAAAACAGTGTAGATTCTTTTGTACATATCTATTTGTGCTAACAATGATACAAACATATTCAGCATTTTATACATTTTGTTAATAAATTGATTAACATATTTCATTTTTAATTCGTTAAACAAGTTACATTCAAACAATACATGGATTTAATTTTCAACAAAATTCATACTTTGTTACGTACAGTCACTTCATAGTTGCTGTTCATATTGTGTTCTTGTGTATTGACCAATTTGGCATACAAGCTCAAATTACTACATTTAATATTCAAGTATTGGATTAAAATACCCAGGCATTTACACACAGATAGATTTCTACATGTAGTAGTGATTTATAAATGCTGGTTATGGAGTATATAAAGTATGACCGGAAATTATTGAGAATTTTAGGAATATGTTTAATTGGATTTCAAGTGCTTGGTTTCATTCAAGAGAGACAACTCCGTTAATCCTTTTTCATAAGTTTGTCAAGAGTGATCCCCCTTTGTGTACTTGCTAGCAGACGACATTTTCAGTGATCCTCAGAATGGATGATTTAGAGAAGAGGAAGTTGATTTTAGAGTATTATAACAAGGACATCAGATCAGCTAAAGTGGCATTGCTTTGTCCACTGTTTGTCGTGTTTTGAAAAATATTGCAAATGGGTATGGTATTGAGCACCAGGGAGGCGCAGGTAGGCCCAGAAAATTGACTGTGGGTGACAGGAGGCGGTTTGGTATTCTTGTTTCTAAAAAGAAACGGAGTTTAGAAAACTTAAGGCTGGATATAATTGATAGAGGAACTGTGGCTGTCTGTAAGGAGGCAATTAGATCTGAGCTGCATGCAATGGCTTGGCAGAAAAGTAAAGGAATTTCATCACCGATCATGAAACCTGAACAAAAGGAGCGAAGGTTGAACTGGTACTTACAGCATAGAAATTTTAACTGGGACAATGTGATTTTCTCAGATGAAAGTTCTGTGTGGCTGTTTCCTAATACACTGAAATTCTGGTCCAAACAAACTGAAAAACCTATGTATCAGCGCCCAAAGTATAGTCCGAAATTTAACGTGTGGGGTGGCATATCTGTGTTAGGGGCAACGCCCCTCTGTGTATTTGAAGGGATTATGAGCAGTGAGCGGTACACAGATATTCTCGAGGGACATTTACTTCCATCTGCTCACGTGTTCTATGGACATTTTGGGATTTTCCAGCAGTACAACGACCCAAACATCGTTCAAAGCATTCACAGGCCTGGTTTCGGGACCCAAATACGACATTATTAGATTGGCCAAGCTATAGCCCCGACCTAAATCCAATAGAAAATGTTTGGGGAGTTATAAAGGAAAGTGTCAATAAGAAAACTCTGACAAATATTGCTGAAAAGAAAGAAGAGGTAGTCCGATATTGGGACAGCATGGACCTCGACTTTCTAACTTCTTTGATCAGTAGTATGCCCCGCCGCATTGAAGCCTGCATTGCTGTCCATGGTGACTTGACGAAATACTAACTGTTCACCTGTCTTTGAATCTGGAGTTATGTCCTGCTAATATTTACATTTAATACGTGAGTAATGAGTGAAAAGAATAAAAAAAATTACAATCTTTAAATTCTCAATAATTTCTGGTTGTACTTGTATATTTGTTTACTTGATGTCCGCAGTGGAAAGCAGTAAACCATTCAGTTATCAAAATGGTTAACAGATAAAGGGTGTAAAAATGTGAATGGGTTTTGATTACCCAGCTGAATTCAGGTCATGTGTTTCTACTTTTCACTTACATTTTACATAAATAATAACCAGGAATTCCAAGGCAGTAGGATAAAGCAAGGCAGAGCATACTAGTATTATGTACTGAAATTATAAGCCTCAAAATCAGCTAACGTATCTTATTTTCCTATTGCTTTTAATGTTGATAGATATGACATATCCAAGGGATGTAATATGTTGTTCAATGCGTTTATGCATTTACTGTCTGTGATGTAACAGTGTAGTTTCAGGATAAAGGGACTTTGAAAAGCAAGATTTATGGATGTCAACTTCTATATTGTGAATAAGACGACGTTTAATGTCATACTCAGACGTCGAAACGTCGTGTTATTCACAATAAAGAAGTTGACATCCATTAACCTTGCTTTTCCAAGTCCTTTCTAATATTAAAGGAAGGCCAGTTATGCAATACAAACACGAGACCAGTGGGCTGATGAGGTGGTGATAAGCATAGGTGATGAACATATTAATAAGATGAGAAATGTGTGTATTTAGATAAGTGAGTCCCACAAGCACATGGTAAGTAGATTCCGAAGGAGCAAGCATACACTCCGAAACGTCGTGTTATTCACAAGTTGACATCCATTAATCTTGTTTTTCTTATGCATTCCACTTCTAGATGCCCTTTAAAGATTTGAAATCATTTAGTGCGTTTAGAATCCTTTGTTAAAAATGCCATTATTAAAAACAACATGCAGTGTCGATCTTTTTCGATTTAGAAAAAGCATATGACACCACATGGAAACATGGTATTTTAAGAGATTTACACGATTTGGGATTGAGAGGCCGTTTGCCTCTTTTTATATCACAGTTTTTAACGGACAGGCAATTTCAAGTTCGCGTGGGTTCTACCCTGTCTGATCATTACAATCAGGATCAGGGTGTCCCACAAGGCAGTATTTTAACTTAACAGCTCTTAAATATATTCAACGACATCCCCAACATAAACAATATATAATATTTTCTGACTCTCTTTCTTGCATTCAGGCTATTAAAAATCTCTCTTGCAAACATCCACTTTTAATTGAAACAATCGAATTATATAATGATCTTGCTACTGGCCAATGCGACATCGTCTTTTGTTGGTTACCCAGCCACGTTGGCATTTCCGGGAACACAATGGCTGCTCTTGCTGCCAAGGCAGCACTCAACAAATCTGTGACACCACTTCTTATTCCATATTCTGATTATAAAGCTGGCATTAGAACTTACATCCGTGATCTGATGCAGAAGAAGTGGGACAACCAAGTAGGTATTAATAAACTACATGCAATAAAACCTTATATTGGTTACACCTACTTGGGTTGTCAGTCCAGATTTGAGGAGGTCATTATGCGACGATGTCGCATTGGCCATACGCGTTATACTCACAAATACCTATTGAAAGGTGAGCATCCTCCGTTTTGTATCCCTTGTGATGACAGAACCACGGTCAAGCATGTCCTGCTTGACTGTGTTGAATTTTCCATCATAAGGGATAAATATTTCAATGTAAAAACAATGAAGGATCTTTTTACAAATGTTAATTATCATTTAATTATTGTTTTTTTAAAAGAAATTGATTTGTTTGATGAATTCTGATTAATGTGGTTTATAAATAGATATATTTTAAAGATTGGTAATTTCGATTAGTGCCTTAGATTGTTAGTGGCTGTACCCTCAAAGGAGGTTAAAGTACTGTAAAATTATTGTCCTCCTGAGAGGGTACGTAAGTCCCAAAACTTTCAAAGTAGACTTTTCACATACCAAGTTTTTAAACGTAGTATTTTTGTTCATTTAGATTTCAGCTAAATTGTCCTACAATCACCAGCTGAAGGGATGGTGTAAATCCAACTAGGGTCCATGCAGGTAGCAAAGGTACTGTAAGTCCCCATGGACCCTAGTATGGTGACCTACTTTCAGTTGTTGGTGATCTATAGCCAATTTTTATATTGTGTTGTCCCCTGTGGTTAAAATGTTTTAGACTATATTACTAGTTTTACATGTATATCTGTGATATTCTAGTTGTTTTACTGCGCTTCGTCGGCAGTTTTTTTGTAGTATACATATATTTCATTTCAATGTCAAATGTTCTCGTCACGATATGGCTGAGATATTGCCGATGTGACGTTAAATTGTAACTCACTCACTTAAAGATTTGAAAAGGACTTTGGTGTCACATTTAATATTTTCCAGTTTAACAGCTGTTCTCAGCAGTGTAGGATCTGCTGGTGTCCCTGGCTCTGGTTTTGCTATGCTGTTGTTTGTTCTGAAAGCTATTGGTCTCCCGGAACGAGGAATATCTTTCTTGGTTACCGTTGATTGGTTGATGTAAGTTACCCTTATCATCACATGCTAATGCTTTGTCTGACACATAGAGTGACCTGTATTGAAAACTATAGATATTTGGATCTCAGTTATTACATTATCTAAGTAGCTGTTCAAGTTCATGATATTTTGCTGTCATTATGTTGACCTCGGAGCAAAAAAACTATTCAACAACTACCTCTCCCATTTTGCCTAAAACAAGCTAAAGTCTCAAGATAATCATAACTGATACAGTTTGTATGTGTTTCGAAGATCAAAGTTAAGAGTGATATTCTCTGATTAAAATATTACCGCGCTTGTGTGTTTGTGGGCTGGTAAATATGCTGTATTGTAAATACATTGTATGTAGAGAGCCTTGGAACTTGTGTTCTGAGTCGACGTGTCTCGATGGGTGTCTCGATGGCATTGTTTCATATGGTTTCATAGAGATTGATGAACACATGTCCCGTCGTCGTATCGCATGGTGACCCTCACCGGATCGCCCAGACTCCCAGTTTACGAACAACATTGTACAGCTGTAATACTGCTGAAACAAACACATACTCATGATATAGGCAGAATTGTACAATCGATTCTAATTTTAGCAGGTATTTCTTATGGATGTGAAAATGGTTTTGGCGCTTCTAATTGTTGTTAGTGGCATAAACATTTGATCTTTCCAGGGATCGTTTCCGCACAACGGTTAATGTGGCCAGTGATTGCCTGGTTGTTGGAGTTGTCTCCCATTACACTAAACTGTCCCCAAGTGACACATCAGAGACTCAAGGCGAGCCTCTGCGGGAGGAGCAGGAGATGCTGGAGAATGACCTGGTGTGATGAACAACCATCTCCTTACACGCCGCAAACTCCTCTCGTGAAGACCAATTTTGTTTTAAGTCAACAAAACGTGAACTTCAGTAGGCATGTTTTGTAATGTACATATCATATATATGCTGTCACAAAAAAATTCTGATGAGTGTGCACGTTTAAACTCCCTTTAGGGTCAGTGGCAGGTTAGAAGTTGGCTTTCCTTTTCAGTCATGGTTTTTTGTACAGGTACTACATGTAACGATGAATAGGCTTACCGTTTCATGAACACATTGTTTAATCACTATTTGATTTTGGTAAAATTGATGAAAACCTTTTGACTGATACTGATAAATGGTGGTTTGATAAGCCTAGTTTCGTAACTTTTTATACCTACTCGTATTGCTGTTCCATGTTGTCCGGAGGGGCGGTGGGATAGACTAATGATTAAAGCGTTGGCTCGTCACGCCGAAGACCCGGGTTCGAATCCCCACATGGGCACAATGTGTGAAGCCCATTTATGGTGTCCCCCGCCGTGATGTTGCTGGAATAGTGCTGAAAGCGGCGTAAAACCAAACTCAGTCAGTCAGTCAGCCATGTTGTCCGGGGAGTGTAAGCTTGGGCTCTACACTCGCCTGGTTCGTCGAGTGTTGCTGAATCAAGCAGTGAGGGGGAGACGAGACGACCTGGACTCTAACTTGTCTACATCAAATTCATGCACCGGCGCACATTCATACAATGATTACCTAAACATCGGGTTCTGTACTCATAAAGTTAACTCAGTCCCTCCCTTCATTACAAGGTGACTCGGACTGGACACGACAGGACAGGCTCTTTACTAAATGTGGAACTGCAACGATCGCGATGTCAACGTTCTGCTGATTTCGAAAACCGCACCCCTTTGCTAGTGTTGACGGAGTCTTTTTAAGGTGTTCGAACACTCCTCCGCCCTTGTCACATGTCCCGATACAACATTTCTGATTCGTTCAAAGTTACATCATTCCATGGTCTCATGTCTTATATCGTGATAAAGAAAATATACTGTAAATTACTCGTTGCTGACTCAGCTTTAAATAACAGTGTAAAAGCCTTTTGCATTCTGCTACTCCCAGCTATTATGTTCTATATCTCCGGATTTATTGCCAGTCATCACGAAATAACCGCAATTCTCAATAATGGGTTTGGAAGTTTAGAAGATCCATTTTTACCTTATAACAATACCGTGTAAAGGTTATTGAAAATACGTCTTGTATTTTGCTTCAGTATAATGTTGAATTATTTAATTTGAGCATGGAGTGAGACTTTTCTTTAGTACGATTTCTATTAATCATTACATACAAGTCTTTTGCTTGTGTGAAAAAAAACCCACAACAATATATCACATTTGTGTTTCTGTTCTAATTGAGTCTAAACGTTCGTAGCACTGCGACATTTGTTTCTGTTCTAATTGAGTCTAAACGGCAGGGTATTTTTCAAAGAATGTATTCTTTCCTATCAGTGTTTAATATTTTGTCAAATACTGCTGTTGATCACTGGATTGTCTGGTCCAGCCTCGATTATTTACAGACCGCCGCCATATATTCGGAATCTTGCTGAGTGCGTCGTAAAACTATACTCAATCACTCACTTAAATACTACGTTAATAATTACACATATTGGATAAATAGTCGCATTCGTGTTTCCATTTCATTTCAAATACGTTAAGAACTATATGTCATTGTTCTGGTGGTGCTCTATTTTAGGAATAATGCATGCATCTTACAAGAGAAAATGGTTTGTACATTTGGGCTGAATAAAGTTTTTATCACCAACTGAGAGCATCAGACACACTAATTAAGATTACTGGTGTTTTGAATTTAAGGTCAGACAAGATGAAGTCAGTTTCAAGTTGCTCTGATCAGTTCACTCATGAAGCGTCATCAGTTGTGTTCCAATACTGAACACAATGTATGGATAACAACCTCTTTATTTCGTGAGTGCGACATTTCGATACAGATTCTGTTGTCAAGCAGGAATGGAACATTCAGAAAAGTTGATGCATGTATACTGAATGTAACAAAGAAAACAACATAATTAACATAACTGGATATGCAGAAAGCTGATGAAGCCAGTGAGTTGACAAAGGAAAGGCGTGGAAGCCAGATATAGGTTTTTGCATAATAAGTGGATCTGTATTTGGTCAAAACTCCATTAACGTCTTTCTCTGACGTTGAATTATAATTTAGAAATATAGAAAACATGATGCATTTTCTGTGTCGTTAACTCTTGGCTTAAGACATAGTATAGGCCCGTGAAGATCCGGGTAAGAATTGGTCTTTGGCATTGGTCAGGCTCGCTGACTTGGTTGACACATGTCATCGATGCTCATGCTGTTGATCACTGGGTTGTCTTGTCCAGACTCGATTATTTAGAGACCGCTGCCATATAGCTGGAATATTGCTGACTTAAACAACCAACCAGCCAACCACCCTAGTTGACGTTAACGATACATGCCAGTAATTAACAGCATGAGTATCGACCTACGCAATTGGGATGCGATGACATGTGTCAACCAAGTCAGCGAGCCTGACCACCCGCCTTTTAAGACAAGTATGGGTTGCTGAAGACGGGTCCAAGCCAACTAGGATACAAACTGTCCATTACTGTTATTCATATCTCGAACACTGTCGCACACAGTGGCCTTCGTATAAGGAAGCGCTACCTTGGTGTGGGATAGTGCATTTCTCATCCGTGTCATGCCAATAGATGTCACAAGATGGAACTTGTTGTTACCCTGACTCATGCTCGGAATTATTAGAATAAAGAACTGGAAGAATCGGTATCAATGTAATCACCGTTTCTGCGCCCGGTCCACGAAACGTTCGTAGCACTGCGACATTCGTATGTTACGAACGCTTTGTGGGTCGGGGCCTGAGTCGTTTTGCCTGTGGCATGGTTTGTCAGTGAGCGTCCCTACAAACCAGCATTAGTCTAGACTAGCACCAGCAACCCTATACACGCGTACATGCACTTTCCTGTAACTGCAAGAATCTTGAATGCGACGTTAAGCACCATTTCACCTCGCCTTAGCTCATCACCATTGACATTTGATCCATTAGGTAAGCTAATCTTTGCACATTTTTCAACACATAATCACGTCTGGGGATCAAAAACTAGTTTGGGTTTGGTTTGTTGTTTAACGCCACACGCAGCAATATTCCATCTATCTATGTGTAAACAATCGCGTCTGGACCAGACAATCCAGTAATCAACAGCATGATCATCGATCTACGCAGCTGGGATACGATGACATGTGTTTTCCAAGTCAGCGAACCTAACCACCCGATCCCGTTAGTCGCCTCTTACGACAAGGATGGGTTACTGAAGACCAATTCTAACCTGGATGTTCACGGGTAAAAAACTAGTAGTTTACATTAGTTCATCCCTTTGCCTGGGTACGACCTAAAGGCATTGCTCCTGACTACACAAACCTGTATTTTGTTGTGTATTACATGTACGTTGCTCGTGCCCTTAGTTTTGCAATTGAATATTTGAAAAACGAATGAGCAAACTCAAAGTCAAATTAATTTTGACGTATGATGACAAATCACATATTATAATCGCAGAAAGTCAGAAAGTTCAATATTCAGATATGATCAGAAAGAATAAAAGACATAAGAACAAATCTCCACCCACAGGTAAATAAATCTGTATATAAGTGCGTTGAAAGAAAATTTATTGAGGAGTAATAAATGGGTCGTGCACGGTTCTGAATGAATGCAATTTAAACCTGTAAGGAGATGCTTTGTGTTTCACACCAGGTCACTCACTCCAGCATCTCCTGCTCCTGCCGTAGGGGCTCACTTTGTGTCTCCGATGTGTCACGTGGCGGGAGCTTCGTGTAATGGGAGACAACTCCTACGACCAGACAATCACTTGCAACATTTACCATTGTGCGGAAACGATCCCTGAAAAGAAAGAATGATAAAGCCTCGTCATTGAGACACGTCAACTGTGTTGCTAAAATTACTCTCGTCATTCTTGAATTCTGTCGTTGGTACCCAAACATTGCAAGTGTTCCTGGAATGCGAGCAGTAACACATTACGTTAATAGGCCAGTATAGTTGGAACTGAAACACTAACTTTTAATATCTTATTAGTTATAACAAACTAGTGATAGTTTTTCAATGAAGGTATAACAACGGTTATACTGGTTTTACTGCATATTTGCATCCGTACCATTTTGTTTCGTTGGCTTTATCATGAAAGGTACCCATTATATGGTAACCATTTTCAGAAGGATACCAACGCAGTAACTCTTTGTTAACACCAGCAAATGTGATTTCAATCATCATCTTGACATTGTAGGTTGTTTTAAGCACAATGAGAAAGGTATTTGTTGAGTAATATTTTGGTCAACATAAGGATGGCTGCTCATTATGATCTAGGACTACTCATAGACTACATGTAGAATACAACAGCTGTGGCACCGTAGAATTTGGCCATGTATGAATATATTCTAATAAGTATAGCTCACATCAACCAGTCAACGGCGACCAAGAAAGAGATGCCCTGATCCGGGAGACCAATAGATTTTAGGACAAGCAACAAGACCGCAAAACCAGCACCAGGTACAGCAGCAGATCCTATACTGCTTAAGATAGCTGTAAAACTGGAAAATATTTCAATACGACACACAAACCATCAGTCATGAAAACATTTGTTTTCACTATTTAAATTATAGCAAATCGGTCTGTCCATATATGTAAAAAAGCATTTTTCACAATATTTTGAAATTTAAAAAGATATAGAATACACGACAAGTAGGTGAAGAGGCTCGTTGCACAAATCAATGCAATTAATTCCAATTGCTTTGATATTTTGTGGTGTAACTATATAAGGTTTGTGGGATAGTAGGATTATATGACATAAATAAACGTGAACACAACGTCATGTATATATTTGCAGATACGTGATGAGTGAGTGAGTGAGTGAGTGAGTGAGTGAGTTTAGTTTTACGCCGCACTCAGCAATATTCCAGCTATATGGCGGCGGTCTGTAAATAATCGAGTCTGGACCAGACAATCCAGTGATCAACAGCATGAGCATCGATCTGCGCAATTGGGAACCAATGACGTGTACCAAATCATCGAGCCTGACAACCCGATCCCGTTAGTCGCCTCTTACGAGAAGCAGATACGTGATGAAAGATGATGTCTTCTGCTAGCCCATTGGTCACCAAACCTCCTTACATCCTGTTTCCATTAAACGTTTTGGTGAAGGTTTATTGATTTCCTTCATAGATTCCATGTAGCAGATACAACGCAAATATGCTCTTCGGGGCGGTGGGGTAGCCTAGTGGTTAAAGCGCTGGCTCGTCACGCCGAAGACCCGGGTTCGAATCCCCACATGGGTACAATGTGTGAAGCCCATTTCTGGTGTCCCCCGACGTGATGTTGCTGGAATATTGCTAAAAGCGGCGTAAAACCAAACTCAGTCAGTCAGACATATGCTCTTCAAAACTCAAAACCTGTAGCCGAGAAATCCCACCAGTTTACCAACGTACCTTATGATTATTACATCTCCGAATGTCAGGCTGATTCCATTGTACTGAGCAATGAACACGGGAGCAATGGCAGCAAACACAGCAGCGCCGTCCATGTTGACTGTGGCACCCACTGGGAGGATGAAGCGGGAAATCCGTGTGTCCATCTTCATCCGCTGCTCCACACACTGCATCGTCACCGGCAGCGTGGCAGCACTGGAAACAGATCCAACTATCATGTAAAGTAGGCTGAGCTCATAATTACTGATGCCAGTATGAAAACATCCAGTTGTTAATATTTGAGTTAATATTTCTAGAAACCAGGGTGTATCACGTTAATATTTAGGCAGTACCCGAGCTTAAATCAAAATGGCTACCAGAACATGCGCCAAACGTTTGATGGTGCCTTGTCTATTAAAGTCAGGCAAGAAGAGATCAAATAAAGCTAAACATGGAATCTCATATCCAGTGCATTCTATTTCACACAGGATATTTCTAATATATACTATTCACACAAGGATTACAAAAATTCACAACATTATTGCAACGTAGATTTAAAATTTGAAACTGTATCCATTTAAAACTGGATAAATAATAATATGGTAACCCTTAATTAGGGAAATAGTCACTTTAATCTAACCTTATGCACTTGATGCATGAGTAACCATAATTTGTTTTTTATGGCACCAATCAAGTATTTTGCAAATCACGGAACGAGTCATTGACAAATAAACAACACCGGTCAATAGCAGGTATGGGATCCACAAGATGCAGTGACATACTAGGATCCATCCTTACAATAAACTTAGATATTTAAACCAAATTTTACACCACATCATAGTTTTCTCTGTTGAATCCAGGATTTGATCCTTAGCAAAGCGTGAACAGTATAGATAAAAAAATCTTTTCTCTCTAAAATCTAAAAATCTATTTTCTTCCTCAAATTTGATTTGTTCAGTAATATCCATCTCCTATTAGAAATGAATGACTATTTCTGTATTATCATTACTCTGCCAAATACATATGGTGTTCTAGTAAACAATACAAATTCAGTGTACCAATATGAAGTCATAGAAAGGCAACTGTCAACGCACACTATGTATTATCATAGCTAATATTTGTTTAGCACTAATATCCAGCTCAGCTGCTCAAAGGTGCTTTGTTTTGTCCTCGATCATTGGATGTCAATTTCAAAGGCACATCGTATTAACAATCTCAACTCAATAGGCACACCAGCTTAATGTGGCTGTTCCATCCTTACAAGGTACCCATTCACAGCTGGGTGGATTTGGACACATAGTCACAGTACTTTGTCCACGTTTTACTGCACGTTGCTGTACCCGCAACCATTTGGTCATTTACCAAATGATTCGAGGGTTCTTTAAAGTGCACAGGGTTGTGTGCTGTACACTAGGGGTAAAATAAATTAAGGTTGATAAAGTTAATGTAACATTCCCATGCAAAAGTTGATGGGAGCAATATCTATCCATGTTTATAGAACGGACTGTGGAGTGAAAAAGTAACGTCGCATATAGCTTTGTGTATGTGAGTGTATTTAATTTCATGTTAAACAATGTTAAACGACCACAAGAGCTGTTGATTAATAATTGTATCATATATGATCACAACATTAATGTGATCGCAAGGGCGTAATGCGGCAATGATTCCACATCATGCTATACCTGTCCAAGCCTTGACACGAACTAATCACAACTGACCTAATCGAAACCAACTCTCAATGCAGTAATACTTTATAGCTGATAAGAATATGAAAGAATATTCGATCTCTGTCATCTTTGATAATTAACATCATTATGTATCATCTGATCATAAAATCAGGCCTACCATACAAACGGTAAACAATCATCAAAACTGAACTCATATACACCAAAACAGAACAAAAATTCACCAAAATAGGAATGAAATTCCAAAACTGCAACAATATCCTCTAAGACCGAAACAATACATCTGTAATGGAACACTAATCGTTTGAAATGGAAACAAAACTCGCGTATCAGCTACAAGAGAACGGTCGCCGAGTGTACAAAATGGCATTCATAGCATCCCGAAACGGCATACAAATCGTCAAAGATGGCGGCGAGGGGACACGAATAGGGTTTGGTACATAACGTTTTTCGTCACTATGAGTCTAATCTTGGAAATTTGATATCAGGATGTAGCGCATCAATCCCCTATTGTAGTAAGCTTCAAACCTTTGTCCATACTTCTCAGTGTCAAGCTTGCAATTCTGCACAATGTGGTCCCTCGTTCGACCGAATAGGATTTGTTGTCAACATGTCTTGCTACTGTTTCTCTTCAGTTTTGTAAATATAGTATTCATAGCATCACATTCAACATTAATATATTTTAGTGATTTGAAAAGTTTACAAAAACTTTGTTCATTCTCCGTGAATTGTATATCTAAGTGATCATTTTTCAAGTGTACGAGAGCAAACTCAATCCACTGATTAGGGCAGGGATTTCTGCTTCAGGTTCACAGGAGGCGACTTCTTGAGACTTACAAGAACAAAGACGGACGCATGTTTCTACCTCAAGTTAAGCTGTATTCTTGTTAAATGATGTAAAATGTTTGGGATTGCATGGAATAGTTTGAAGTACATGGACAAGATAAAATTGCAGAATGATAAAATCTTCCAGAGACACAATTCACAGTTGAAATTATAAGCAAGTTCATGTTTCCTTCTCTGATGAGAAAGCAATGTTTCCCGATTTTTTAACTTCTTTTTACATGTCATACACTCAAACGTTGGAATTTTCGGAAGGTTCGGTATCACAAAGATATTCTAAAGAAATATATTCACTTAATGACTTCATAAAAGGAAGATGAAACTAGAAGATCTTCGTCCGAGAACATGACCATACGTACAGTGTGAAGCGGTGGCATACAAACATACACACTAAGAAGAATATGTATGAGGACACAGATGACGAGAGGAATCTGTGAATATAAGTTTGAGAAATTTGAAAAAAGGCATTTGGGAAGTCAAAGTAAAAATGATCACTTAGATATGCAATTCACGGAGAATGAACAAAGTTTTTGTAAACGTTTTGAATCACTAAAATATATTAATGTTGAATGTGATGCTATTTATTTTCAAAACTGAAGAGAAACAGTAGTAAGACATGTTGACAACAAATCCTATTTGGTCGAACGAGGGATCATTGTGCAGAATCGCAAGACTGACACTGAGAAGTATGGACAAAGGTTTGAAGCCTACTGCAATAGGGGGTTGATGCGCTACATCCCGATATCAAATTTTCAAGATTAGACTCATAGTGACGAAAACCATTATGTACCAAAGCCTACTCGTCTCCACTCACGATTTGTATGCCGTTTCGTGATGATATGACTGCCATGTTGGGATGCTATGAATGCCGTTTTGTACACTCGGCGACTGTTCTCGCGCGCTCTTGTAGCTGATACAAGAGTTTTGTTTGTTGTTTCGGTTTTAGAGGATATTGTTGCAGTTTTGGAAGTTTATTTCCTATTTTGGTGATTTTCGTTCTGTTTTGGTGTATATGAGTTCAGTTTTGATGATTTGTTCACCGTTTGTATGGTAGGCCTGAAAATGGCATTTGTCAATGTGATAAATGCAGAACGGACTCAGTTACTACTTAAATAATAAAAATGTATACCTGGAACTTGTTGCAAAGGCTGTCAGCAGAGCTTGTGTTGCCTTGAGGTATATTGCATATGGGTTCTTTCTGGTCAGAACACAATACAAGCCAGGAAGGACCACCAATGAATGGATTGCCAATCCAGCCATTTCAGTTGTGATGTAGATAGCCAGTGTTTGTCCAGTCTTCGTCATGTCAGTTGTGGACATTATCTGGCACATGACGAGGAACAGTATGCCAAGTGGTGAATACCTGCAACACAAAAATACAATATTGCTGGATGGATGTTTAATGGACAGACTCAGTGTCTTGTCTTGCTGTTGTATTCACGTGTCAGGAATGTTTCAATTTACGGCCCATATCAGAGGTTGATACACTCTCTCAAACAGGAAACGCATGGAGGTAAATCAGTAGGAACACATTTTCTTTTTTTTTAATGACAACCACAAAGTAAACAAAAATCACATAGATATCAATGTTTGCATGATTGGGGTCATTGGGTAGCTGCACCAAATGAATGAAAGTTTATGTCACCACTACGTCAACGTTGCACCGGACGCCGGCTTTTACGTCACTTACGGTAGTGACACTCCGTTTGCTGGGAGCACAGCTTGGCATCTCCAGGGCATAGACAAAATAAGTGTTCGGAATCGAGCCCTGGGTATTTTAGACCATTCATCCTGCAATGCTTGTCGTAGTTGGTGAAGCGTCTGGGGTCGTGGATGACGTCATTGCAGCCGTCGCTCGCGATAATCTCATAGGTGTTCGATTGGGTTTAGAATAAGCTTGGAGCACAGCTTGGCATCTCCAGGGCATAGACAGAATAAGTGTTCGGAATCGAGCCCTGGGTATTTTAGACCATTCATCCTGTAATGCTTGTCGTAGTTGGTGAAGCGTCTGGGGTCGTGGATGACGTCATTGCAGCCGTCGATCGCGATAATCTCATAGGTGTTCGATTGGGATCTGGAGATTTAGAGGGCCATGGAAGCACTGTAATGTTCTGGTTGGTGGTTGGTGAAGAAATTCATTGTGATGCGTGTTGTTTGGGGTATGGCGTTATCCTGCTGGAAAATCTGTCTCTGTGGGTCGAAAATTGGAAGGAGGTGACGTTGCAGGATTTCATCTCTGTAACGAATGGCGGTTAGATTCCATTGTACATGCACAATGTCAATTCTTTGGTTCTAAGAAATTTGCGCCCACATCATCACAATTCCTTCTCCAAATCTGCCAACCGGCGCGACACAGATAAGGGCGTCGGTACACTCTGGTTCTACCATCATGACGCTGCAGCATGAAACTCCAGTGTCTCCAATCCCGTTATAGTATACGTCCAACGTAAGGTCTTCTTGCACGCAGTCCACTCTGCTGTAGGCGATTTCTACTAGTCTGTGCAGAACATTCTGTAGTCCTGGGCATATCTTCCGGTTTCATTTGCTGCCACAGTCCACAGATGGAACCACCGGATGTGACGACCCTGTGCCTCAGTTGAAGCCCTTGGCCTACTACTTCGCGGGCGGCCTCGGGTTGATCCAAGTTGTTGGTAACGACCCCAAAGTCGTGCGACGGATGTGACTGACTCTCCATCCTCTAGACGGCCAATTGCAATATATCGATCTTCTGCTCCAAATATTGGCATTTCTAAAGTCACCGTGAAAGCTCATAAATGCGACTAGAAATATCATTGTGTCATTTCTTTATAAACCTCACAAGTTCACCAGTTTGCACGTGCATCACGCACTGGGGTCCATGCATTTCGGAAAATGACGTGTTTAGGGTTAATGTTTTTATCAGGTAATGTGGTTTGGCGATTGAGCACGAGTTTAAACCTGCATCAGCATATTTTGCTGTCAAAACAAAGGTTTTGTAGTTTGCCTTGCATTAAACTTTGTTTGAAAATTAAAATTCACCCGTGTATTTTTTTTTGAGAGAGTATATTTAAAGGCACAGTAACAGGCAATCAAAGAGGTGTCGTGGGACACCAGTCGTGCAACAATGAGGAATCCCCTCTGACCTGTTATAAACGAGCGAGTGTGGTTTTACGCCTCCTCTCTCTCCCCCTCCCTCGTGTACCTACCACATGACTAGTCTGATCATCTTGAAAGTAACGATGTTAATGACAGTGAAGAATTCCACCACTGGTCCACGACGATCTATCCGACTGAGCGTCACGCCGAAAACAATGCAGTAGGTAATGACACCTGTCACAAGAGAATTGTGGAATGACAGGCTAGCACGCCATTCTTAATAAGAAACATGTCAACATTGTGCCCACGTTTTTAGATCCAATATTCATATCAAGTGTTCAGTTCAACACATGATGTGACATTCACTGATACCTAATCACACTTTATTTGGATCCCAGTAAAAGTGGTACAATGATACATGACTATCAAATCAAAATATACTTTTCAAAAAAGAAACTTGACAAAGGACAAATTTGAATTTTAGGAAAATATTTGACACAAACCAATCCATGCTGAATCGCAGCATGTGGGGGAATGGTTGCCAACGACAAAACGTTTGAAAAAAAAAACGTTTAACAAAAACGTAACGTTAAACTCATGTCTGTAGTGAATCGCTAAAACGCACCATACATGAAATGCACGAGCATAATGAAATTGTACTCAATGGTATGCATTGCTTTAAGCCACTATAGACGGCAAGACTGGCAGAAGCTCAACGACACAACGCCATCGGCCGTTTACAAGGACGGACATCGCAGCAGTAAAGGCAAGGCACTTCAGCGTGTCCAGACAGACCATCTCAAACCTAAGGACCCGATACAAAAATACTGGGAGTGTTAATGACAGACCCAGCCCAGGCCGACCTTGAGTTACCACCGCCGTCCACGATCACGGTTGAGACATTTTCGTTCAAACACCACGGCCGCATCATGCACAACAATCCAAATCCCTAGACTGCTCCGATTTTCCGACCAGACAGTGCGCAATTGACTATGGAAAGCCAGACTTTTGCCAGAAGACCAGTTCGACGTCACGTCGTTCCCTACATCAACGTGATCTTTGGAGCATGACAATGCTCGCCCTCACGTTGCACGTGTTTGACAGGTCTCCCTCCAGCAAAACAATGTTCAGTTGTTACCTTGGCCTTCTCGATCACCGGATTTGTCCCCCATTGAACATCTATGGGATACTCTTAATCGACGCTTGCGCCAGCGTAATCCGCCACCTCAGACACTACAAGAACAGCACACAGCACTTCAGCAAGTGTATACAAACATTCCTCAAGACAGCATTCGACATCTCCTTTCTTCTTTGGGTCACCGCTGCCAAGCTGTTATCGATGCTCATGGTGGTCACACCAGATACTGACATTTTACTCTGACCAAGTGGCTTTAATAGCCCTCTGTGGTTTTACCAAACACTTTCTGGATAATCCTGTTTTGGAAATTTGTAAAGTGACGAGCAATAATGTCATGTTTGAATCAGTTATATGCACTCAGTAAGTAAACTCCAAAACAGCATGTCAAGTTTCTTTTTTTTTTTTGAGAGTATATAATAAATAATCAACCAATCAGTTAAACCAGCTTTGAGTTGCCTGGGAACACCTTTTCCTTTGTCAATAAGAGGTATTGTTACGGAATGCTAATCTTGTGCTCAGTGGTTTTAAAACAAAGCGTATTTAACGTATTAGAAATACTGAGTGAGTTACACTTTACCGTAACATCTCCATTATTTCAGTAATATAGCGCTTGTTGTAATCTACTGTGGTGTGTTTGCAGAAGCCAACATAATCGGTTATACCTTCATGTAAAAATCTCAACCCACAGGCCTGAGTACGTTGTTCCTAAATATAAATATTTTGACAATATTTTATCACTCATGTAAGTATTGTTTGGACAGTGCATCCTTAAGATCATAACCAAAAGAGAGATTTCAGATGACTAAACCTCTTAGTCTTTCGAACTGCCTAACCATAACCAATGTATTATGAAATGGCATTTAGATATAGAAAGATCACTGCAAGACAGATTGTATAGATTTTTGAAACTTCATGTAACTGTGAATGATATAGTAAAACAGGCCAGACAACATTACTTAAATCTATTAACATTTAGAACTTAGTGTCCTTGGCTACCAACTGACGAAATAGATTTCATAAACCACTTCCGGTAGACGTGTGTGTACATTATGCAGTCATATTGACCGAGGTGACGAAAATTAAAGAAAATGCGAACTGTTCCATGGCTGCATAGTTTTTAGAAAGCACATATCAAAATGAAAACATGTTTCAATGATAATGCATTGGGTTTTCTTTTGCGACTTCATAACCATTCAGCTTAATCTAGTTTGTTTGGTCCAAAAGTGCATGCTCATCAATTTATGCCCAGAAGGAATGCAGGTTTTTTATTATGCTAACATTTATATAACGCCAATATCCAGCTCAGCTGCTCAAAGGCGCTTTGATTTCCCCTCGATCTTTGGGTGTCAAACTACAGAAGCCTATTAGGGCCATGTCAAAAATAATTTCATATCCCTATTAACTGGAAATTTCCAATTAGTAAGAGGAAATTTCCAGATACTATGTGGAAATTTCCAGTTAATAGGGATATGAAATTATTTTTGACATGGCCCTAATAGGCTTCCGTATCAAACTCATACGGCATATCGTGTTATCAATTTCAACTCCCTGGGGATCATATAACTCTGGCGGCCACTAGGCGCACCGAGTTAATGTGGCTTTCCCACCTGTGTGGACTGGGACACATAGTCACAGTACTTTGTCAAAGTTGTACTGCACGTTGCTCTACTCGCAACGAGGTGTTTGCACGTATTCATGTGGCCACCGGGCTTAGTGATCAGTTTGCAGTTACATTGCACAAAAGCATTTCAAAAGAACCAACTTTGGGTACGTTAGTAACACCTTGTACGAATACCTATGATATTTGCACCATCAACCATCACGTGTTTCTTTGCTGTAACATGTTGGTTTGTGCTGTTGACGTTCCTTGAGTCACCAACAGAACTGGAGTTGCCATCGTTCTGTAACTCCACTTCACGAACTACCGTCTCAGTTCTGGAGTGTTGGACTGTAGCAGCAACTATGTTGTCAGGAACTATGTTTCTGAAGCACAATCCAAACATTTATAAGAAAACGAATGTATAGAATTTTACATACACACCCGCCGTACTGGTATTCACTCTTACAAGAACTGTCAGAGAAATGTTTTCTAAGGATAAAATGCAAAAGAGAAATTGAATCAGTTGTCTCCAATATGTATACTACTGGAATAAAGTAACTTTAGGCAATTCATTTAAGGCAAATGTACACCCTTGCTTTGCCATCTGAACTGTCCACATGAAATCTCGACTCGTCAGTGAACACAACACCATCATAATCCTGTCTGCACCAGGAAAGACGCGCCTGTCGGTGACGTTGGAGCAAAATCGGACGGATTGCAGGCCTTCGGGGTCGGATGTTGTGCTCGCTCTGTCGGTTCAGCACAGTCCTGGGACTGATTGGGCGTAAGTAGGGAAATGTATGAGCAGATAAACTGGCAGTCTGGAATCGATTCTTTTGATGGGTCAGCCGAATGTGGTTGGTTAGCTCACGTGACCGGTCAGGGTCGGCCGTGGAGGGCCGGTCAGAGACAAATCTCTTGTGTTCCAATTATGTTAAAATCGCCGCCAGGGAGATGTGATCGTGTTTCGATGGACACCAAAATGTCTGGCCAATTCATTTTGGGCCCTTCCAGTCTCCAGCATAGCCACGGTGCAGAGACGCTGATTTTATGTAAGCCGTGGCAATACGTACGCGCAGTTTAGGTTGAAATTAACGTGTTTTCCACAACATTCAGAGGCAACAGACCAATCAACCGTTCTCCAATTTTCAACATCACGTCTGTGACCTTCAGGTGTCAAAGCGCATGCAAAAAGTGAGTAAGTTCGTTGTGCACAAAGTTCACGTTACATCAAATTTCATGCAAAGTGCTTTGCTACATGTTTATTTAAGGTTAAAGTTTTTTTATTTTATGACATTTTATGTACTCCATGTTTCTTTTTTCCGTTAGTATATATAAATGGCACATTGCTGAAACGGTTCATATATAGGGATAAGCAATTACACGCCTGTATTCTGATGTAATGTCATGACTGTGTTGAATATTCCATCACAAGGGATAACTATATTAAATAACGAACTTTGAAGGATCCCTTTAATAATATCAGTTATCATTTAATAATTGCATTTTTAAAGAAATAGATTTGTAAAATGATTTGTAAATAGATAAATATTTTATGATTGGAAGTTTAAATTAGTAACTCAATTGTTAGTGGCTGTACCCTTAAAGGGGGGTTAAAGTATCGTAAAATTATTGTCCACCTGAGAGGGTACGTTAGTCCCAAAACATTTGATCTACATTTAAGTCTACCAGTTTTTAATCGTAGTATTTTTGTCATTTTCTTGTATGGCTAAATCTCAGCATAAATGCCAATGGCTGAAGGGATGGTGTAAATCCAGCTAGGGTCCATGCAGGTAGCAAAAGTAATGTAAGTCCCCATGGACCCTAGAATGATGATCTACCTTCAGTTGTTGGCGATCTATAACCCGTGTTTTATATTGTACTGTCTTCTTTAATTAAAATGTTTTAGATTTACATTCTAGTTTTATATTCATATCTGTGATACTCTAGGATTTTTCGCCGAAGACCCGGGTTCGATTCCCCACATGGGTACAATGTGTGAAGCCCATTTCTGTTGTCCCCCGCCGTGATATTGCTGGAATATTGCTAAAAGCGGCGCAAAACCATACTCACTCACTCACTCTAGGATTTTTACTGTCCATCGTCGACAGATTTGACTCTTTACAATATTTTCATTTATATTGTAAAAATTGCTTTCGTCACAATATGGCTGAGTTATTGCCGATGTGACGTTAGATATTAAATTAACTCACTCACTCACTCTGACGTAATGTTGATAAGATATAACATGGTTGCTAACATAGATTTGCACTTTCTAAACGAACTGCATGATTGGAAAATGAGTCTACGATTGTAGATGTCCTACTTATGAGCCCCGTGAAGATATGCGTTAGAAATGGTCTCCAGCAACCAAATCTTTTCTCAAGCGACTAAGGGTATGC